AAGCGTGAGGTTAGTTGTCAATTCAGTTGCTACAAACTTCTGAATTTGTACTCACATTTTTTAGAAACTTTTTAAATTGCATTGGTTTTCGCAATAAAAATTCCGCTTTTTCGAATAACATTGAAAACGCATGACTTATTCAATTCTGTCACTAAGGAATTATTTATTTCATGCTTTTCATTTCTTTTTTAGTCCGTATTTTACTATCAAGTACTAGTACTATATTTCTTGAGTCCGTGACCTTAAAAAATTTTGCTCATTACCGTACCATTTACTTTGTACAACTTATTTTATTGAGAACTATAGGTAAGGTTAAGGCTGAAATCGTAACAGTTATTAGAGAGCTTTGTAGACCCATGATCCGCATCTGAAGCTGGACTTTGGACTTTCCTGAAATCGCTTTGCAATAAAGCTATTTTGATTTATATATTTTTGCTCTGAATTTGTTTAGACAAAAGATTAGTCTTATAACTCAAATAATATGAGAAAAACGTAATAGTTAGTACCTCTTTAGAATAAATTCGATATAAAATACTTTCATAAACTATATAAATTTTATGAAACTTAAATTAATCTTGTTTTAAATATTACATTTTATCTGATAGCTTGTAGAGTTAGTCGTTACCAATAAAGTGACTTATAAAGAAAACAAAAGAGGCTATCTACGGAATAGTTGTAGGCGGTTTACAGGAGAGTTACGACGCACATAAATCTCTACCCAGTTATCTGAGCTACCTGCAGATGAACAAGCCGATATTTTATAGCCAAAGGGCTATTCTGAATATACGATAAAACGTTTGTTATGGAAATATACAAGTACGAGTATATACTCGTACTTGTATATAACTCAAACACTATTAAAACATGAGTAAACTTTGTTTCTTAAGGATAAGATGATATGTAGGTAGAATAATTGGTAATTAGTAACCTAGGTTCAATAAAATACTTACTATATTTTTGTTTGACAATTTTAATTTTAAATTTAGGTAGAACATCTGGTGTTTAGTGGCCGGGGTTAAATGAATACTTGTTACATTTGACAGTAATTCGTTTCTTTAAAAAATCTATGACTCCAATTGCTTATTATTTATTAACTGTGGACTAAAGACAGTGTAACCATTTTTATGATGCGGTTCGATCATATTTAGGTAGAACATCTGGTGTTTAGTGGCCGGGGTTAAATTAATACTTGGTACATTTGCCAGAAATTCATTTTATTTAAATCTATGGCTCGGCTATATTGAACGACAGTGTTACCATTTTTAAGGAAAAACATAATGACAACCAGTATTTTTGATATCGAACAGGCCATTAATAGATTCCAGAATAAGTCTATGACCAACGGGTGGCGATTGCGTGAAGGTTGATTTATTCGTAAGGAAACGCATAAATTAGCTGGATTCGACTCCCGACCTGACGACATGATTGATCGTTGAATTGAAGTCATCGGTCACTTCTTACCATATATTAGACCCTAGTCTTTTCAAGTCACCCTTTAAATTTGGTCTCTACGTGTCAGCTAGCTTACCATCTAACTACAAGAGTTGAAAGCTTTTGTCATTGGTGCTGGCTACATCAGCTAATGAAGGCAGTCTACAGAGGCCAATAAGTCTTGGTAACGAAAGCTTTCATTTGTATTGTAAGAAACTCATTATGTGAAACGCTTCAAAAGTAAGGCGTACTACTGTCACTAAATTTTACTCATGCCAAGACTATCCAAATCATTAAGGAACCGCAGACAGTCGTCAAACATTTTTATGGTAATGTTTTCGTAGTCTGGAGCAACATTTTAAGAAATTAATAAAGTTAGGGTTTAAAGTTGAAGGGTTCATTTATCAATAGTTGTTATTTCCAAAATAATAGAACGTTATGCGTGTAATGTAATATGTCACCAAAAGTCACAATGGAACTTGTCACAAAAGTGGCGCCATCTAGTTGCAACTGAAAAAAATACAAATTTTCAAACTTATTTCAATAATAACATATGATACACACTTGATTTGTAAATTGTATGAGACATTCGCTTCTATATGTGTATTTGTTACTTAAGCTCAAGTTTTATTATATAAACAGTCAAAGTCATTCAAACTTACATTGATTCCTTAAATAAATCCAGGTTTTTTTAAAAATATGATTAGATATTATTGGACTTGAGGACAGTGATGGCCTAGTGGCTTCAGCGTGCGACTCATATCCCTGAGGTCGTAGGTTCGATCCCTGTGCACCAATGGACTTTCTATGTGCATATTGAACATTCGCTCGAACAGTGAAGGAAAACATCGTGAGGAAACCGGCTTGCCTTAGACCCAAACTGTCAGTGTGTCAGGTACAGGAGCATCACCTTTTTGCCTATAAGATTGACAATTATGAATCAGGTACGGTAATCTGAGTCCCAGAAGGTTACGCCATTGATTTATTGTATTTTATTTTTAAACACACGGACTTATTATATCCAATGTTCAATAACAATGTTTACACTCAGACTGTTGAACATATATTAAGAACATTGCTTGTTCCAGCATAACGTCAGTTTTATCCACATGCCATAGATTTCGATGCCCACATATGTGGCTTTGCTATCAATAAGAGATGCGTTAGCAATGTTCGACCGTTCGTCTTTGGCACCAATTGTACAGCTACAGTGAAATACTGCTTTATTCTACCTGCAATATACATACGGATCAAGACGAAGACTATAGGAAAAAAAATAGGTTTTAAATCTATACCTTGGTTAAACAATTATCGCTGGGAATTACACTTTGGACTTTTGTGAGTGAGACATTTCTACGTAGATGTATAACTTCCGATATATAATCTATAAATACATTTAAATTAATTTTTATTTCCATTAATCATCTTCGCATCAAACGTGAACAATTCGCGTCAATATCGCTAATATTTTTGTTATTTGTTTATTATTGTCAGGAATTCTTATGAAAGAAAAATTTAAAGAGTGAGTAAAGTGAGCAATTGATTTTGTTAACGATTGACAAAATTAAGATTAAGCCAAGTTTTTTACAATATTTTATTATATTTCAATTCAATGCTTATAGTTATAACAGGACTGGTCATGTCGGGTCAGCTGTATCAATAAATTCTAAATGTAATCTATTCTACCAGCTGTCATATAGTTTTCTTTCAACTTTGAACAATACAAAATAACACAAAACTCAAATACTTTTCTATACTAACCGTTTAAAATTTTCAGTTAAAATTTAAATATTTTCTATTTCATTTATTTCTTTACCGCAGTGTGTCTACAGAGAGTTGATCACGTCTGCCGATGTTTGATAGAGCAACTTTATTAGCAAGAAGTTAGTTTACCGAACGTGAGAAACGGCTTTCCGTTCACATTTTTTGATAAACGGCTTATATTTGTACATCTTGAAGTACACGTTACTTTTGGTACAAGTAAAATTAAAGAAACTTACCTAAGACCCATCCAAACCATTATATTCTAATATCTAATATGTTAATTAAATATCAGCAAATTTTGCCTGTTATTTATTTATTAACACTGATTCGTTCATATTACATATATAATCAGATAAAATAAATATTAATCTCTTCCAGGCAACCCTAGTAAGGATAAAAGAAAAAAAATTAAAGGTAAAGTGCATGTTTGCGATAAATCGATATCAGTCAAAGTAGGATGACAATTTTGACTTTGAAACGCGAACCGGAAATGATAGGTGGTGTTCCGGCGTACAGGGTAGTTAGATTTTTTGCGTGCGCACTGATATTGAACCGCACACCGTACTACGGTATTTTCTTTCATTTTATAATTATTAAGAGTCCAGGTTAGAGTCGGACATACCACCGTCACAGATTTAGGGAAACTTACCGCGCCTCCCGTCCATAGCGAACAGATGGGCCTGTTGGGTTTTAGTGGGTAGGGGTCCATTGCACCACACTGGACCGATGATGGTAAGTCTTAGTCTGATCGATTCTTGGCTTCTTTTTTTTATTATACTGACACGTGACAGCCGAACCAGCGTATAGTATTTAAAGGGAAGGGAGCATCCTGGATAAAGCTTCCGGATACCCACACAGTTTTTTTGGTCCTTGATACGTATATGTGTCATATCCCATATTTAGGCATATTTATTTTTTCGTATATTTTTTCAATGTATTTTGTTGGTTAGGTTAAAATTGGGATTTTTTTTATATCCTAAGAGCCCAGGGCTCTTTGCTTAGGCCAGACCTTCGTCATTTTATAAAAGCTGACAAGTTCTTCTGTGCGTGTCCCCTATACCAGGTAAGAATGACAAGACTAGAGTGGGTAGTGGACTTTGGCAGATAACAGGTAGTAAAGGTGTAGAATAGTACCAAAGTATAAAGCTCAATTTTTTTTATTTTATTAGGGATAACTTTATAAATATCGTCATAATTGCCGGCACTAATGACAGTTGCTTCCCCTGCCAGAACCCTAAACATTAATTAATTATAATTATACTTTTAGAGTATAAAAGCTAAATTTATGTACTGGGACCAAATATGATACCTCAATAGCCGGACAGTTTCAATGGTTTTTACACCCTGCCAGAACATTGAAAGTCCGCTTAGGTCAGCCGAGCGCTTAGTCTTTACTACCTTTATCTGCCAAAGTAACACTACCCAAACTCTATAGTCTCTGGTCGTTCTTACCTTAAGGGGACACACAGAAGAACTTTCAGCTTTTATAAAATGACGAAGGTCTGGCAGTCCTGGGCTCTTGATCTATTACCTGTATAACGACAAATTAAATATAAGTTTTAAATATTATATTCGTATTTATTCTTCTGCATTTCGTATTTATTGTGCCTGGTTTGGTGAGAATGATCATGCGTAATTAGTATATACCGACATCTGTTTTTCTAAAAAAATCGTTTCAAAGTTAACGTTCCTGTGAATGCATTAATTGGTAGCATATAATATATATTTTTTTAACTTAACACCGAAGAGACCTCGATACGATAGACTACTCGTATATCTGTATATAGCCGACTATATTCCATAAGATGCCGGACCACCTGGTGCCGCTGGGTCCAGGTCTGTTTCAGTGAAGTTGCTCCAGGTATATTCTATGTTCATGTGTGTGTGTGTCATTTTCTAATGCAATGCCGTTTTTTTTCAGAGCCAAAGTTTGTTTTCTGCTCTACTTCGTGCCTGAATGGCTCATACTCTGCCTGTCTGAATCGCTCTGCCCCATATAGTTTAGGACATTAAAACAAGTCAAGACTATTATAGAAAGTTAATCAAACCTCAATCTAGTTTTAAGAAATGTTAATACATTTGTACACCCACACACAAGCACGCATATCTTCAAATGTGCACAAGATTCCATTTTAAAATACCTCTAGAATTTGCATTAATGGCGACACCAAACCAGTTTGTACTAATATTAAAACAGAGCACTAAATATTTTCCTATTTAAATGTTGACAGTTCTCAAGACGAGATTGTATCTTGAGATACTAAACGGAATATACGCCTTTGGCGTAGTAAGTATAGTTTAATTATTCATAATTATGTACAAATAGCGAACAAATTTAAATTCTAAAATATTCATGATTATGAAAATATGAATTTGAATAGGAAAGTCTTTTATTATCGCGAAAATAAGCGCTAATGAACGAAGGATGAAAAATAATTAGTAAAACGAGGAAAAGAGATGCAGAGATCGTTCATCAAAGATTGTAGAGTGACCATAAATTTGGGAAGAAAGTGAAATTTTGAATTTGTTATAATTTTCTTATACCTACAACTGCGGTAATATAATTATACTAGACGTATTATCGATATTTTTTTAATAATTACCAATGGCATACAATGCACACACATTTCTGCGTCTTATTTTAAGGCCCCAAACACTACTCAAATGTTTCTGCGGGAATCAAACCCTGATCTGCAGGTTATTTGACGGCTGCATTATTTCACTAAGTAGTTCTAAATGGGTATTCAGGTGATTTATGTTGCACATTTTTTTTCTGTCGCAATTAGTTGAAAAGAGGATCTCGTAATTTGAATGATTGATGATGAAACACTCCGTTATAGAAGTAATAGTACTGGCGAGCTCTCCTATTCCTTCCTTCTTCCAGTATCCAGTCTCACGCTACGCCTGCGCTATCTAGTAGGAAAAAAGAATGAGATATACGTCTTAAATATATGCAACTTGTGATTTCAAGTGTTAAACATTTCTAAACAAATATAATAAAAAAAATGATGAATTAATGAAAATGATGTAAATCCTACAGCAATCTTTGAACGAAAGAACGTCTTAAGGCAATTTTTCAAGACATTTGATCGCGAACAAACACGCTAATTGCTTTCATTGGTAATTAAGCTTTGTATATTGATCAAAAGAAAATCATTTTAAATCTATTATTATTTAAGTACCTTTGACACTGTTATGATTTTTTGTACTTCTCTTGTAATTTTTATAATATTTGTTATAATTGGTTCAATGTAGTGATACTGTTCCATTTGAACATTGATGTATTACTGACAACATACACTAAACTTACGTGGAGAAAGGAAGATGCTGCTCTTCCTCCGGTCTATAAAAAGGGGTCTACGACCAGTCTAACCATTGCCTTGCCGGCCCTGAGGCTTCTGTGGCTTTGTAGCTATTCTTACCCGCTCCCCTTTTGGGGCGGAAATGGGCCAACTCGGGCAAAGCCAGTGGGGTTGTTCGCGTCTTCCAGGATGGCACTGAGGCGGGCACAGAGGCCTTGGTGTCGTGGAGACGAGGATGCGTAGGGTCGACTGTACTCAGTTTTATCCTACTTCTGTAGTTTTTTTATTTTTTTTATTATATAAATTTCCCAATATTCCCGACTCTTGTGGTGCGGTACCTTATTTTATACAGATATTTTGTACAAACATATGTATACATACATACATTAAGAAATTTCTTAATATATACTTCTGTAGTTGGAGTGTAAGAAGTATTTTCGAACCAATTCGACTTAGGGTCCTTCAAGAAAATAGTGTACCAATTCTTAAAAGACCAGCAACGCACTTACGAGCCTTCTGGCAGTGTGAGTAAGCGGCGGTATCTCTTAACATCAGGGGAGCCTACTGCTCATTTGCCTCCAGTTACATAGAAAAAATAAAAAAATAGCGGTCGAAATAACTTCTAAAGCGCGATGCAGTTTACGCGCTTTAATTTCGTGAACTACTGAATCGTATTTAATCATTCCTTTTGTGATGGGTAGTGCTCACGCCAGTGAAACCGCACGGTATATGTCATACAAGGAAGTGGTAAAGCCAATAATAAGTAATAAATTAATGTAGACCAATTGTATATTATATATACTCTACCTAATGGGAACTAGTTAAAATTGTTTAATATGCAAGTAATTAACCTGTCTCCCGCAGGTTATTATTTGTTAGTACAATTTCTAAATCAAATTATACAAGTTAATATTCATTTCAATAGTCGACAAGGTAATGTTCATGTTTTTAATTACCACAAAAGTTTATGGATATTTATTGCACTATATCTACTCCGTAATTCTAAACATATTTTTTCAATCTAATTTTTTATTTATTTTAATTGTTAACATTTTTGTTTAGTGTGTATTGCTATTACGCTTAAAGCTAAGTTGTGTAAATTTTTTATAAAAATGTATATGAATTGATGAAATTAATTTTTATAAATTATTTTTCTTTCTTTCTTGCTAAATTACACATTAAAATCCGTAGCTAAATTAATCAAATCGACAAATTTTATCTCTTTGAAAGTAGGTACAATTTATAATAAGGTGAAAGCTCGCATCTCCTACGAAACCCGTAATAGAAATTCCTTACCCTAACTTATTAGATTTTTATTGAACAAACGGGCAAGAGGCTAAGGTTAGGTCATACCACCGCTCATGAACACAAACACAAGAGAGCTCTTAAGTGTGTGGCTGCGTTTTTGATTTGACATGCTCTTAATTTAAAAATTTCAAACGTATAGAACGTAGTTTTTAAACGCGCTTGACAAAATTTCATTAACGTATCGCCATCTATTGTTAATTAGGCGAAATATTGTGATTTGTACAATTTTATTGATTATTACTAACTACTAACTAAACTAAGCCTCCCATTCTACGGCACGGCACCGCTACCGTGCAACGCACGGCGCCGTCCCGTGACACGGTACGACGCCGTGCCGCACCACGGTGCCGCGGGCGGTGTGCGCGGGGCCAATTCTCAGTCGATATTTCGCAGGTGGCGTGCGTGCATGTGTTTAATGTGTTTAAAACAAAATGGTGGAAAATATCGATGTAGATTTCTTTATTTCGTTAGTGGAGGCACGTACAGTGCTCTGGGACAAGACAAATGAAATTATAAGGACAAAATTTAAAAACAGAAGCGTGGAAAGATGTTTGCCGAAACATTTTGAATCATTGATGACAAGGACATTAAAGAAAAAACAAAACTGGGTGAGTATAACATTTATTTGTTTTTAATGTTTTTATGATAATGGAGTAGGTACAGTCTGGTCTCATCAATATATTTTATGCAGAAATAGAACTTGCGCTGCTGTAATAAGATCTATAATAATGGTTGTACACCATACAGTTCCTTTACTTTAATACGTCTCTTCCACATAGAATTCAGTCTTGATAATAAGGCAGGTAAATTTCTTTTTTTTCGTGACTGGTTTTGAGTTATATTTTGGTTAATTGCCAACTAACCCCAACATCCTATTAAAATATTTAAAAACTCGTCTCTTATATTTATGGATTTGATAAAGAAAGTCATCTATAGTTTTCCAAGTCCAAAAGAGTCATCGATATACAGTTCTTCGGACATTTTACTTCCATCTCGAGATAACAAAGTTGTCAATACACAGCATCTTTGATAATGTCTGTTCAAAATATATTTGACGTTTAAAGGCCTGTGAAATATACGCCATTTATTTCAAGTATGCCAAAAGCACACTCGACATTTCGTCTGGCCCGATCAAACGGTAATTAAAAATTCTGATCAATACTTAAATTTTCCCTAGTATGGACGCATTAGATTACTCATTAACGGTAGGCCTTATCTGCAATAAAGACATACGGAACTGTTTTGAAGGCCTGGCAAAGGTTTGAAACTGGTAGGGAGTCGATGTTGAATTAATAATTCATATAGTTTTGTGTTCTGAAAAATTGTCGAATACATTCTTTTCCATACCTCAATATCGACATACAAAATCTGTATTTAGAATCGACTAGTCCCAGCAACACGATAGAATTATAGTTTTATAGTTGAAAAAAAGATCCACTGTGGGCGGGACTGTTAATCGAATGTGCTTCCCGTCTAAGGCCCCATCAATTTGGGAAATTTGTTTTTTGTCAAAGTCTTCCCTATTGTTCCATAAGCTCTTCGGTTATTGTCGTATAATTCAGATAAAAGAATGTCCCAAAAGACTATTCTTGCACTATTCTCTGATTGTACTTTTTCCTCATAATCTTAATTCCATATTCTAAATAATTCCTTTGCCAAAAACTGAAAAGAGAAATATATTTACTAGTTTCTTAGAAAGTTTACCACAAACTGTTTAAAGCTCAATTTCGAATTGCTTTTTTGAATTTATACTTTGGCTAACACTTTGTATACCCTATGATAAATACATGTAGTCATGAAAATATTAACCTAATGTTTTATTGTTGCAGGACATACATAATTAAAAAATGACTCAAAGAAACTACTAATACATGAAAAAGAAAGAGCTTCAACAAATCTGGAGCTTCAGAATTAAGAATTCATTTGCACAAAAATGATGTTTTTTAAAAAAACCCAAATTTAAGACTGTAGTATATTGGAAGAAGAGTCTGAAGGTCCGACAAATGAAAATACTAGGTCACATACCGACCTTATGCTACACCTACCATAAAAGAAAATACGTTGAAGATGATTTTGAGAAAAAATTATCGAAATTTAGAAATTGCACAGAAAGACATGTTTTTTTTAAATCAATTTTACCATTTCTGGAAAAACTAGACACCCCAAACATGATCTATCAAAGTCGTTATCAAATATTGACAGATTTTAATCAACCCACATATCAATACAATCACAGTCATACAGCGCTCCACAGCTATCAAAGTAGCTCCAAAGATCACAAAACTACAGCGACTTATCAAACAACTCACAATCCATCATCTCAAGGTCGTACAAACTTCCAAATTCAACCATAGAAAAATATCTAATAATTTAAGCGATATCTTATCAAACACACAGAGTCCGAATACGATTTTTCTTAAATCTAGTTAGATAATTTAAGAAATCCAGGGGACCACGACTCTAGAGCGAAAAAAATCCATTGAAACTCCTGTGATACAAATAATAAACATATTTTGATTTACTATAAGTTCGTTTTATTCTTACCTGACAGTTAAACCAAGTTCTCAATAGGATCAACAGGTTTTCTGAACACGTATTGTTTTTGTAAACGAGGTGCTAATTTGGTAAATAGTTGTTCAAAACTTGTTATGGTCATTCTAAAATATTCAAAAAATTTCTCATTCCCAATATTTTTAGGGCTTATATTTCCTTTTGAAATACCTCCATCTTGGTTCATTGTAAGAATATATGGATTTACCAAAATTTCCTCTGTTTCTGTTTTTTTTCATTCGTCGTCTTAGTAACATCAGGAGAATAATTTCTATCCATATCCAGATAACCCTCCGAGTACAACAACTGCGAAATATCGACTGAGAATTGCCCCCGCGCACATCGCCCGCGGCACCTGGTGCGGCACGGCGTCGTACCGTGTCACGGCGACGCGCCGTGCCGTTGCACGGTAGCCGGTGCCGTGCCGTAGACATGGGGCCACGGCCTAACGAATCATCTTTATGTCACAATTAATATTAATTAATAACTGTAATCAAAACGTAACATCTGGATATAAACTTTTAATACTTATTCATTACAAAACTTTATATTTGATATTTTTTGTTAATTTATCTATATTACACCATGTTATGTAAAGTGGGGATTGCGAAGTGACAATCACAACTCAAATGGGCTTGGGATGAGACCCTTTCGGGTGTGGCGCTAGTAACAGCGTAATAAAGATAGAGAGTTCCTATGATGTTAGGAGAGGTTAGCTTATTAAAGAAGGACCATTTTAATAGATCACATTTGATACCTAATCTAAATTTAATAATCTTGTAATGGCGGGCATAATATATATTAATTAAGTTTTAACTAAACAATTGCTAATCTTTTTTCAATTTCTAAATCTTTGATTTAATCTTTTTTCTATTTCTTCCCACATAACTATCTGTATAGTTATTACTAATGCGATAGAACTAAACAATAGAACCTACACCGGTAATTCCATAATTAAAAATAAATACATAAATTTGAGTCAAAATTATTATCTATTAAACTGCTATCAATGAGACCACGAGATGTCCATCTGTCATGAACAGACTTCGTTAGTAAAATATCGACAGCGCGGGGTGAGGGGCAAGGGTAGGGACCGAACGAAAGAAATCTGCGTTTGATGGCCTTTATTGAATTTTCTCTATTCATTACTAACTGGTAATCGTGAAGATCGTTCAATGATCAATTTTTTTTTCAACTTCGAAGCAAATAATTTCTTGTAATTTTAATCGTAATTTAATGATCTGGGATATAATTTCATAGCAATTGTGCAGAAAATATAAAATCAGAAAAAGAAAACAACATAATTTATCTATAGGCCGCCTCTGACGCTTACTAGTTACCGAATATAGCGTAACCCGCTTTCCTGGGTTCAGTTCCTACAACTA